TATTCTGCATAAAAGCTGAGCTCCTATTAAACAGAAGTTAAAATATAATTCTCAGTAAATGAGTAATATGTGATAAGTTATATGTATGCATATGTATGAAAGCAAATTAAGAGTTAGATTATTGTTATTTAGATGAAATAGCTATTGTTATTTTTGTCAAACAATTTTATTCGTTGTACACCACTGCGTATGAATAAAAAACATAGAGCCTGCGGTAAATAATGCTCTTGTAGAGGGCATTTTGGTTTTGTTAGTCCTGGTTTTATACCCTTTTTTATTTTACAACTTTCAGAATATTATCTAAGCGGTTATCTGCTGGCAGTTTGCTTTTATTCTCTGCCCATATTTCTTATACAAACATTTTTGGGACAGTTTTCCACGTCGGGCGCCATCTCGGCGTTTCGTGTGTCGCCAATATTTAAGGGTATGTATTATGACATGTCCTATGCAGTTGTTGTATATTAACTAAATGTAACTCATATTATAATTAACTTTCAGGCATTGGCTATTCCATTCTGTTGCTGAACTTGGGCACACTTACGTACTATAGCATCAATGCGGCCGTGCCATTTATCTATGCCGTCAATTCGGTGCGTGAGGTCATGCCTTGGATGAGCTGCAATAATACGTGGAATACGCCAGAGTGTTCCACACACGATCATTATAATGAGGAAGTAAGTGTTGTAAAACGATCCTGACTAAGTGACTGCTGATTGATTGATTGACTGACAACATATGATTGTCGAATAAAATGGCTGATAAAAGCGCAGCCCAAAAATTTCACTTGCTGGATTGTAAAACAGACTGAAATATATTTATGGAACATTTTCTGCTTTTATTGTTTAAATCAAACACATTTTTAAAACTTGAACTGAACTGTAGTAGATAATTTTTTATTATATTTCCGATCCGATTACGAATTTTCCAAGTTTTACATGAAAAACAATTGTTGGCGTGTTTCGCCCTTATCGGCAAATCCGGCCTAAGGTCGGAAAAATCGAGGAAAATAGTTTGTAAATTTAATGAAAAATACTTAACCCAATTAATTTATAATTATTTGTACGTATGTTTACAGGAACACGTACAAAAGCCACATGCAACTGTGGAATTCTTTCAGTAAGTCTCACAGTTTCAAATAATTACAGAATATTATAGAATTTAATTACATTTTTTTCCCAGGTCTGTGATAGGTTCGATTGGACCAGATTCCAGTGACTGGTCGCTATCCTGGCCTATGCTGCTGGCCATTGCGGGCATCTGGTGTGTGGTGCTGGCCCTGCTGCTGAGCCACGTCTCATTGGTGGGTTGCCAAGTAGATTTTCGATGCTCATCCGAAACTAATCTTCAATCTCAACCCACAGATTGGGAAGGCGCTGCGCTGTGCCTGTGTGCTGATGTTTGGCTTCTTTGTGGCCGTGTTTGTTTATCTGGTGATACACGAGCAGGTCAACTGGCAGGGCTTGCAGGATTATTTGCATCCCACTATACCCAGCTGGCTGGGCATACAGTCGGCGCTGGGCACGGCCATATTGCAGGCGAGCATGGTGCTGGGTCCCGGCTGGGGCAGCATCATAACCCTGGGCAGCTACAATAGCTTTCGTAGCGATGCCGAACGCCTCAGCATTTGGGTGTGCCTCACCCACGTGCTCATCACGGTGATGGCCACGGTGTGCGGTCATGTGGCCAATGATCACTTTGAATGTAAGTCTCCTTTTTTTTTTAGCATAAATGTATATAAATATCTCACTTGAATATCTTTAATCAGTGCATGTGGCCATGTGGCATGTGGAGAAGCAGCATACGATGCAGTTCCTATATCTAGCCTACGCCTATCTCTTTGCCAGCTTTGCAACACTGCCCAGACTTTGGTCTTTCCTCTTCTTCGCTGTCATATTCCTAGCTGAATTGAGTGCGCTGGTAAGTCTCTATCTTGATCTCTCTCTCCATATCTTTATCTCTAATAAATATAAATACGTATCTGTATCTGTATCTGTATCTGTATCTGTATCTGTATCTGTATCTGTATCTGTATCTGTATCTGTATCTGTATCTGTATCTGTATCTGTATCTGTATCTGTATCTGTATCTGTATCTGTATCTGTATCTGTATCTGTATCTGTATCTGTATCTGTATCTGTATCTGTATCTGTATCTGTATCTGTATCTGTAAATGTATATAATCTGTGTATGTACCTGTTTCTCTACCTGTATATATATATCTATATCAATATCTATATCTGTATCTATACCTGTCTCTGTAGCTGTATATATATCTATATCTATATCTATATCTATATCTATATCTATATCTATATCTATATCTATATCTATATCTATATCTATATCTATATCTATATCTATATCTATATCTATATCTATATCTATATCTATATCTATCTATATCTATATCTATATCTATATCTATATCTATATCTATATCTATATCGATATCTATATCTCTATCCATATCTATATCCATATTTCTATTTGGCAGATCATTCAAATGATGTCCGTACTAACCGCGCTCTTCGATGAATTCGAGCAGCTGCGCCCCAAAAAGAAACCTATTACGATTCTCCTGGCACTCAGCCTGATGGCCACATCCATCTATTTCTGCACCCAGGTGCGTCTTACATTTCTAGCCAACTCGTTTATCTAATTTCTCTCACCTACAGAGGGGCTTCAGGCAAGTTAGCGCCCTGTCCTACATGTCGCTGTTTACACAGATCATTATCTCGGCCTTGTTAGTAATGATGGCCACCTGGATTTATGGACGTGTGCGTTTCCAATGCGATCTTCAATTTATGCTGGGCAAAACGATCTCAAGTTTTAAAATATTTTGCATACGCTTTGTGGTGCCCTTTTTTATAGCACTTTCCCTGGTAAGTCACAAATATAGATATTATATTTTCGAAGCGCATTTATTCAATGAACTTTCAGTGGGAGACTATCCATATGCTCACAGCAAATGGTGCCGGGGACTCGTTGATCTGGATTAGCCAGACTTTAATCTATTTAGTTGCCCTGGGCTATATGCTCTACCGATTGTCCCAGACGAACGGCACTTGGCGCCAACGAACGAGACAATGTTTTGCACCGCACGATTGGCATCCGGTAAACGCGGACAATCGTCGGTTCTATGAGGAAATTATGGGCACCTCCGAAATGCTTGTCATTGACAATGGCAACACCGCCTAATAACTGCATAGTGCCTACAAATAAAATACTTACTCATTTTAATTAAATTTATTGTACTTAAGCGAATGACCTCAAACTCAGGTCGAACTGAACTCAATTGTGTGTAGAACAGCTGAAATATTTTAAGATTTACACGCATCTAAAAACAATGAGCGCAAGTTTTTAAAATTAAATGTACTGACATTTTCCAAAACTAGTTATAGTGAACAATAAACTGGTGATATTTGTAGTTGCAAAAAAAAAAAAATTAATAAAAATGCAAGAGCTTTTATAAAATATATATTAAATTTCTAAGAAATGTTTTGTTACACTATGATATTAAATAGATCTAAATATTTTATATTTATTAGACCAAAAAAATGTTTTCGTTGACAGGTTAACGATTCGAACTAAATTCCTGCTTTCAGATTATTTTCTTGAGTCTACCTATTGCCAAGACTCGAAACCAGGCGCGTCGCGTCGAGAATCTGGCTTTATACATCGATTGACACAAGTTGAACCCTGGTTTTCACAAAAAATGGTTCAATTTAGTTTTTGGTTGGCTCATGATAGATAAAAAATATAATATTCGGTTTTGAACCGGTTCGGTTAGAGTACCGAATATTTGCCATTCTAAAGCAAAAGTATTTTTAAATGATTTTCTTTGCTTTTTTGCATACTTTTTGGCATTACAAATATGTATGTTTGGCAGGCATTTAAGTCATTTAAACAAATGCCAATCGGATGTGCGATAAGCAATAAATGAAGCACATGATCAGCTTTACAGGGCGGCAGAAGTGCACACGTACTCTGTTTACACTGCAATAAATAAATACTTAGCTTTTGCAAAACACAAAGAAAAAAAATAGCAACTTTTTATTGAAAATGCAGTTTTGGTTTTTCTACTTTAAATTCATATCTATAACATTTTTGGCTACATATTCGTTCACTTCTATATTTTTGTTTACCCACAATGTTTGCTTAAATAAAATGGATTTGTTTAGGGCTAGTCGTTAATACGATTTATGTTAATTATATACACAAATTATATAGTACATGTTATCGTATGTATTTTGAATCAGTACAATGTCATGTGCTGCGGTTTCGACGATGTGTTTTCAATACAAATATCAAATTTTGTTCAACTCATTTCTCTCAATGTACGCATTACATGTCAGCAGCTGAGAACTTGGCAATCTGCTGCTGTATTTATATAAACATATATATTGAGACAGCGGCCAGCGTTGATAATGAAAATAAGTAAAAATGATCTAGCCGAGAGTGCCGGACTAAAAGATACCCTGCACACAGCGCCAAGCTGACAAACAAGATTTCTGCAGTCTATGCTTCTTGCCTTTGACACACAGTATGAAAATGCCTTTGAATAGGTTCGGTAATCTTTTGGAGAAAAGCAAATAGTTAAACATTCTGAGGAGAATCATGTGTCCAAATCGATATTTATCGATTTTTAAAAATATTAGCTATACGAGCTTATGTAGTTTTCAAGAGCGAACGGACAAATAGATAGAAGATGAGCTCAGCTCGTCGGGCTGATATATCGGTGTATACCCTATGTACATATCGATGTTAAGTTGTAACAATATACCCGTTTACAATAGCTGTAGGGTATAGTAAATAAAAACAAAAAGTGTCTATCCATTCCATGGATGCTACAGATGCTCTCGCAGGCCTCGCGTTCAGTCTGCCGGCATCGCTTCTTCTAATTAGAACGTCAATTTAAAGTAACGTGCGCGCGTTTTCATCGCTAAAAACGAAAACGAAAATAAAAATATAAACAAAAAAAAAAAAACATTAATTAAATTTCAGCTGCATTGCGACGTTGTTAATCGCGTTTTATTTATTTTTCTTGATTTTGAATAATATATTTTCTAATTGTTTTGCTTTATAAATAACCATTTTTGCGGGATATGTGATGCACCAGAGGCTGTGATTGAATTTATATAGCACAATATTGTTCTATATATTATACGAATTCCGAATTCGTACTGTTGCCATGGTATACGAGACCTCATATGAGAGTGGCCGCAGGCCATTCAAACCTGACCTGGCTCGTGGCAAATGGGAAAAGCCAACGGACTACATTTACGCCTGTTTTGGTCTCGCACTTAAATTGGATTTATTTATTGTTTCATATTGGTTCTATTTTGATATGGGCCGTAAGTATGTGTGCACGCGGTGTCAATTTTCAATCAAATGAAAAATTCATCTTAAATTCTGTCGCTGATAAGCCAATCAATCTGCTATTCAACTACAGATGAGATCAATGCATTGCATGTACAAACAGCGAGGGCTGTCTATTAAGTTATAGAAGTATTTGACATTACTTGATATGAATATTTTGTACAAACAGCGAAAGAGGAAAAAAAACACTCATGAAATAAACTACGAACAGTTTGATTCGGCTTCCTTTTGTCCCATACTATTTCAAAGAAATTGATTAATAAACCAAGGCGCAAGGCTCTACCTTTGTAAGTTTCTTTGCTTATACATTTTCTAGGAAATGAGGGGAGGTTCCCTAAATATATATGTCATTCAAAATTTTGTATAACTCTCTAGTATACACAGTACTTGCTAGGACTTAAAAGACTGAACCTTTTTGCACTTAAAAGAAGCTACATCTATTAGCATTAATATTTGTAGCTCCGATCAGAATATAGCTATATATCTAATTGGAAGTCAGCAAAGTTGCCCAATAAGCGGCCTATTTCATGACATTGATTTAATTCAAGGGGCGTTTTTTCACAAATAGTTTGTGCTATTAAAAACCTAATTAATAAAAAAAAAACAATTGTGATTGTGATTATAATATATATATTTGGAATGATAGCATATGCACGCTCATTTTGCGACCTTGTGTGGTCACAAAAATATGACAGACAAAAGAAACTTGATGCTTGATAATTTATTAAGCATTATTAAAATGTGTAACCCATTGCGATAAAATTGTTGATAGGTCGCAATTTGGGAGGCATATTTAAAAGCTTGATCAAAATTACAAATTATCCTAAGCCTGTACGTATACCAAGTCTTATAGCTGCCAGCGAAACGATTGTTTCAAGATTAAAGATTGATAAAGTGTGTCTAAAAATAAATATTACACATTCCTAAACAACTGCTGACGACTATTTTATAAAGCTTACTTATAGATCACAATCTATTCGATCAAGTTCTAAAATTGTATATACAAAATGGTTATTTTAGTATTCGGCATGTTGCCCTACTATATCTATATGGCCATATATCTGGTGCCGATCCTGGTCATACACTCTTTTATGGGTCAATTCTCGAGCAGTGGCTTCATCTCCGCCTTTCGCGTCTCGCCCTTCTTCAAAGGTAGGTAGCATATATTAAAGATCTGTTTGGCCTGGAGTTATCTAAGCTGGCTTCTCCTAGGCATGGGCTACGTGAGTCTGGCCCTGAGTCTAGCCAGTCTGCTCTTCTATGGAATCTTTGCCATTGTCCCACTGATATTCATAATGCATTCCCTGCGTCCCACACTGCCCTGGAGCTGCGAAGGCTTTAAGCCAGAGGAAAATGTAACAACTGTAAGTATATATTTTCTATATGTTCATATAACTCATTAAATATAGATTTACTAATTTTTGCACATAGATCTGTAATATGACGGACACTCAAGTCCAAACGGTGCTGAGCAGCGAAAATGAATCGGATATCTTTGAAATGACTGTGGTGCACGTGCCCTCCGTGCTTTATTTCAGGTAAGTTGCACTCGAAGATTATCAAATTATCAGTAATGAGCACTGAATTCCTGTAGACAGCACTATGAGACACTAAGGAGTGATTTTTACATGGGAGAAAGGCCCGACTACGAGTTATCCTGGCAAATTGCCGGCTTCTCAGTCGTCATTTGGTCGATCATCACATTTATATTCTTGAAGTTCTCGGAGACAGCCAAGGTAATTTGTTAGTAATTATATATAATATAAATATATAAAACTTACGGCCTTTTGATACTACAGTTTGGCAAACTGTTACGCTACATGATCCTGTCAACCTTGGCGCTTTTGCTGGTGTGTCTGGTGCGTTTCATGTTTCTACCCGGCGCCTTGGATGGTATCACCCACTATGTGAAGCCGCGCATGGATTCGATGGTGGATGGCGGGCTCTCCATGACAATTATCGTGCTGCAGGCCTTTGGCTCCGGCTGGGGCAGCGTCATGGCATTATCGAGCTTTAACAACTTCAAGACGAACATCATGAGCTACAGCTGGATAATTGCCTTCGGTCAGACACTTGTTTATATACTCTTTGGTTTGGTTACCTTTATGCTGGATCATTATTTTGAAAGTAAGTCTTTAAATAATATGTTTAATATTTCAATTAATTTTTTTTATTAGAAGCTATACTAATAAGGGCTGCAAAAAGAAAAGAATATGTCTTTATGTCTTTATTTTTGGTTCGGTTTGTATTGCTTAACCAAAATTATAATTTTCTCTTTATATTTTTCTTTATAAAAATCCTTTAGCCATGAAGTCCAACAGCTTCAGTACGTATGTGGAGGTGAACTGGGTAGTGTATCTATCGAGTGCCAGTGCTTTGTCCACCCTGGAAGTGCCCAATTTATGGACCATCATCTACTATACCATGTTGCTGATGGCTTCTATAATTGTGATGGTTGGTGATTATCGTATGCATCTGATTGGTCTGACGATTTCTTAAATTTTTCATTCTTTTCCAAACAGATCACGCAACTCTTTACGGTTTTCACCAGCCTGTTCGATGAGTTCGAGCTGCTGCGAAATTATAAACAACAGGTTACAGTTGGTGTATTGTGCTTCTTGGCCAGTGCTTCGCTTTTCTTTTGCACGAATGTAAGTATAATATATATATTTATAAATATACATATATATTACTAAATATATATATTTGAATATTTATATATACATATAAATATAAATATATATGTATATACCTTTTCCATATTTTATCCCACATTCTTTGGTTTTATCCATCAATTCTAGCCTTTTATCAATTACCATGAATTTTGATTTTTTTTTTAATTTTTCACGCTTAAATTTAAGGATATTTCAATTAATTCTACTTTTACTGCTATTTCATCTTAAGTTTTTTTTTTATTTGTTAATTGTTATATTTTATTCTCATTCCTTTTCATTCATTCCATTTCCGTGCACTTCATTTCATTTCATTCCCTCCCAATTCAATGTAATCCATTTCATTACAATCTATTTTATTGCTTTTATATTATTTCTTTGCTTTTCATTCCATTCCATCTCATTTGATTTCGATCCCTTCCATTCTACTTCATTACCTTCCATTACATCCTCTATTTCATTCCTACATTTCATTCTATTCCGTTCCAGTTCATTCCATTTTGTTTTAATCCAATCCATTCCATTACATTCTACTCCAATCCATTCCACTACATTCCTGTTTTTTCCATTCCATTCTACTCCTATCCATTCCACTCCATCCCACTCCATTACATTCCATTTCATTCAACTTCATCATTTGACTCCATTCCATCCCTTTTCATTCCATTTAATATTGTGCTTTTCATCTCGATTCTTAAATATACCCTTTAATTCTCCTCCTTAACAGCATGGAGTTATGTACTTCTCGGCGTTATCCTTGGATGCCATTATGATCCATAGCGTTATGCACTTGCTTCTCCTGTTGGCGGTGCTTTGGGTCTATGGACGTGAGCGATTCCAACGCGATATAGAATTCATGATTGGACAGCCATTCGCCTCGTGGAAGATATTCATATTGCGCTTTATAGCACCGCTTTTTCTGTTGTATACCTTGGTTTGTATATGATTCATATTCCCCTCCGATCAGATTATAAATATATTTCTTGGCTTTCAGCTCATTGGGGTATTCATTTCATCCATGGAACATGCGTTCAGCTCCTCCGTTATGTTGCACATAAGCCTGATTCTGGTGTTGGTGCCCATGCTCTTTATACCGGGCTATGGCGTGTTTATAATGTGCCAGAATACGGGCGGATTTTGCGATAGGTTTAGGCGCGCCTGTCGACCCAATGATTGGTATCCCACCGAAATGGAGGACCGCCAGCAATATGAGGAGGTTGTGGGCAATGCTGATATCACACATCAGCTCTATGAGGTCACTGAGGAGGTGAACTAATGTTGATGAGCTTTGAGATTTGTTAAAGGTTTGCGCCCTGCGATATCCCGTATACATATAATAAAAAAGATATTTTGTCAAATGTTTTAAAATCATGAATTGAATATGAGCAGAAACCATTCTTAGTAGCTTAGGAATTATTATGATTATTTTTTAGCCACCGTATCCGGCTCTACTTCCGTTTCGGACATAAATGCCGGAAGTCGGCGTTGTCTTCTGAAAGCTTCGTATTCGGCACGATCTTCTGGATCGGCTGGTGTCCAATCAAAGGGTCTTAAGCGCTTTTTCAAACTATCGCACAAGGTTTCGCGTTTTCGGATCATAATGTAAAACACATAGAGCGGTATCCACATAACCGAGGAGATAAAACTTAACCAACCCAGGATAACGGCCCAATAAGGATATTCAACCCCATTGTATGTAATTTGCCGCATAAATATGGTGCTTGTTAGCAGGATAAACTATATAAAAATATATTTGGAGATCAGAACTAATTGAATTGAACTATAGATACGGTCTTACGATCAGTACGACTGGAGATATATACTTCCAGGATATCTTCCAAAAGAGGCTGGGACGCTGACCCAACATGAACTCAATATCTGACATGAAATTGTTAATGCCATAGATATACGCCACCATAATGACCTCCACCAGGCAAATGACAATTATTGATATGGCCGACGAGTACCAGTCGAACAATTGCAATATATACATGCCAGCCTGTAACATGAGTTTGGGTATTAATCGGTTCCATGCATTACCTAATCACACATATGCTTACATTGGTGCACATTACGGACGACAGGGAGAAGAATAATATGCATAACATTAAGCTAACCCACACTTTATAGTTACGCAGCGCATCAATCTCATCCAACATCGATGAGGTAATGGACTCCAGTTGAACAAACTAAAGAAGAGTATTAGCAAAAATAGCTGAGTAGAGTTCGGCATGCCTGAAACCTGTATACCCTTTGCATGGTTGTATGAATTAATTAATTATAGCGAGGCTTTATGATATAATTAGCCGTTTTCGATGATCAGATTGTCGTATTGTAATTTATTATTAGTCGACGAGCAAAGACGAAAAAAGCTTTTTATGTACGAACTTTATTTGAAGCGATTGTTCTTATGAAAACTTTTTGATAAAATATTTATTATATTTTAGGACCATAATTTAACTTCATTTTGTTAATTTAAAGATATATGTAAAAACAAACTAGTTGGAAAGGTAAAAAAGATGATCTTTCAAGGGTTAAAGCTGTCAAAGAAAACAAGAGAAGAACTCTCTTTCTAACCTTTTGGTAGTAGGGAAAGGAGGATTTATTCGAAATGTTTATGTAAGGAGTATAGTAAAATAAATAATAAGAGAGAGGCTGAGAGGCTAGTTTATAAAGAAACAGACAGATGAAAATGGATACACCAGTTCAGCTGCTGATACTGATTACTCTTTACACCTGACAAAATGACCACACCCCTTTTGCAAGGGTATACAAAATACTTAAGCATATATGATGTAAATGTCGCATACCCACCACACTATTAATACCCAAGAGGAACAGCATAATAAAGAACATGATGGCCCATAGCTGTGGCACGGGCAACATGGCAATTGCCTCTGGATAAGTAACAAATGCCAGTCCAGCGCCCGAGGTGGCAACTGTGGCCACAGGTATGCCCGATCGGTCTGGAAATAGCCCAAGCTGAGTTATTGATAAATGTGTCTGGATGTCGTTTACTCACTCGATAGAAAGCCCAAAACGGAGAAGACGACAATACCGGCATAGATGCTTGTAAACACGTTGACTGCAACAACTAAAACGGAATCGAATTTGGCCTTGTTGCGAAAATTATTGAAGCTGGCCATGTTGACAATGCCGCCCCAGCCGGGGCCGAGGCCGAAAAACATCTGTATGGCCGCATCGGCCCAGACTTTTAGGTCAAGCAGACGATTCCATTCAGGGTACAAGAAAAATTTGATGCCATTTGAGGCGCCGGGCAATGTTACTCCTCGAACAAATAGTATGGTTAGCAATAAGTAGGGGAACGGGGCCGTAAAGTAGGAAACTTTCCCCACCTGTTCAGATATGTTTTTTGTATGCATATATAATATTATCGGTACTATATCGAACTCTTACCGATTTAATGCCCTTCAACACACACAGAAAAATGAGTGCCCATGTGATAAATAAGCTGAGAAACTGCTCCCACACCATGCCACCGAGATGGGCAATGTTATCCGAAATGCGCAAGACTTCCAGGCTGAAAAGATAAAATGCTAGCTCGATAAAAACATCGATAATTTATCGATGAACGCAGCTTAACCTACTGAAAGAACTCATCTGCCGATGTGGTGGCGCGACCGTCGACATGTTGCAACTAAATGGAGAAGGACAAAATGAAGAACTTAGGAGCTCATATGTAGTTGGCTTTGGATGAGGATGGACTCACTAACCTTGTCAACGGTGGTGCAATTGGGCGTGTTCCATGGATGCTTGCAGTCGATCCATGGCACAGTCTTCCAGAAACAATAATACAACATGCGCACCGGATATGATATGATAACCGAATAGTAGCATACGCAATACAGATTTACAATAACCATGCAAATGCCGGTGCCCTTCAGTAAGGGCACCAATCGAAACATTCCCGTGCAGCCAGTGCCCGAGAATTGGCCAATCATTACCTCCATATAGAACAATGGAATGCCGCATAGAATAACCATCAGCATGTACGGTACCAAGAATGCACCTAAAAGAAAAGTTTTGTGAAAAATGTACTTGCTCGAATCGGGTTTGAACCAGCAACCTTTAAATTTACAATTTTCGTGCAGGAACAAACTGTCTGGGCTCGAATATTATTGTGAAAAATCAAAAATTAATAAGTAAATAAATCAAAATCGTAAAAATATTATTTTCTTCAAGCCGGGTTCGAACCCATGACGATTGAAAGTTACGAATTTGTATTGCAAGCGCAAGCGCTGTCAGGGCCAAGGAATTATTGTGCAATCAGAGTCAATGATAAAGGATAAAAGCAAATATGTGAACAAAATATTAGATCCTTCGAGCCGGATTTGAACCAGCGACCTATGGATTTCAACATATCGCGATTCAATAAACTGATGGTACAAGAGCAAGCGCTGTCTAGGCCGCGGTATTGTTTGGTCTAGAGTCCTGCCACTGCTCGCAACACCAAGCTTCGAGAAAACTCTACAGTCCATCGCTCTACCAACTGAGCTATCGAAGGCACTCGCTGCCCGCCGACAAAGCGCCAGCAAAAGCGACCACGCGCAGCGCACACCAGCTTTCACTCAAAAAAGCTACGGCCAATTGCCGATGCTTAAAATAGACACTGCACTCACTGTGTACACAAACACACACCAATACACACACACGGACACACACACCTATGATTGGCTGTGTGACGTCAGAGCATGCGCTATTTTTGGAGCAGCCCGGCCACGAGCTAAGTTGAGCGAATTGAGCACAAAAACTCATTAAAATGCTCACTCATCTTCAATTACTGGAACAAGAAGAGTGCACTTGTCGGCAATGCCCGACTGGCGGCTACCCAGCATAACTACTGCAATCGCCGCCAGCTAAGCACTTTCTTGGCTTCATCTTTGCCCAGCTACACATTTTGGATATGTTGAAATTAATTCTTGAATAACTTTTGTGTTTATTGTTCGAGTGCTACGAAATTAATATAGGCATATGTGACTATTAATATAGTTAAATATATTTGTTCTTAGTATTATTTAACCACTTTTCATAATACCCAATCTTTGCTGAAAAAGGGAACTATCTAAACTCGATATTTATCGATTTGTGGAGAAAACTTATCGATTTAGCGAAAATAAAAAATAAACATTTTCTGAGTATAGCACGTGTATATATAAGCTGAGATAATACGGATACAGGATACAGGGTATGAGTCGCATTTTGTGGTAAGTGGAATGAGAGGTGGGGGATGGATACTTACCGCCGCCGCTGCGATAACAGAGGTAGGGAAAACGCCAAACATTACCAATGCCAATGGCATAGCCAATGAGCGTAAGTATAAATTCAGTTTTGGATGCCCATTGGCCCCGATTTGCATCGCGATTGACCCTTTTCTCCTTACGTTGTCGCGGTGGTAAATTCTTTTCATTCGGTTGCATTCCAGGTAAACAATTTTAATTAAGGTTCGCAAATTTAAGCATGTTTTTTATTGATAACAATATAAAATTAAAAGCAAAATACAACACACAAATTAAACATAGACTTGTAAAAATAAAAATAAATCTCATATAGTGAACTCTATTGTAAGGCCTGCTAAGTCTCAATTTCTTGGAGGTATTTAAGCTTCCCATGTTAAGATTATGCGATAAATATGATTCAGAAAGCTCAATCAAGACGTCATTTAAACTATTTTCTGATAGAATTTAGCTTCCTAAATTGCCTTGAGCATTGACTCTCCCAGCAGCTATTTTTCCAAAATCGATAATTGTTGATTTTCCTGTCCCGGCATATCTCGCAGATTTCATGCGCCTAAAATATCTAATAGGGCTTGTAAGTAATTTTAGTTTGATCATATTCGGAACATGTTTAATAATTTTGGATTTCTGTTAATTTACTCAAAATCGATAAATATCGATTTCCAACTTTCGCATTTTTAAGAGTGATTAAGGACATGCTTGGCATATGGAATGGTGGGATAAATAAACTCCCGTTTTCACTTCTCATCTTTTTCTTATTGTTATACATATATATATATATAACACTTTCTTCTGATTGAATGACTTAGTAATTGGTGATCTGTGCACAGTTCAAACTACAAGAGCTAGAAAGCTAACATTATGATATCTTACCATGAAGTTTCGCACTTATACTTACATTTCCGCCCGCAACTGTGGAAAAAACGCGGAAGTTTTGATAGGATTTCAACCTTTTGTATCAAATAATGTTCACTTTAAGATTTAAATACTATAGGCCCTAGTTTGCTATGAGATATCGTTTTATTAAATGAAGTTGACCTCAAATTGTTGCAAAATTTTATAAATGAAGAAAACACTTGCAGTTTAGTTTTTAGTAAATGTTAACTGTTTTTGTTTTCTTTATTGGCAACTTGTAGCATCGTTAAAATTAATTGGTTTTAGTTCACATTTCTTCTAGGTCTAGCTTATTAATTAGTTGAGTGGTTTTTTGTTAAAGCTTCCGTTTATCGCGTTGCTGGCTCCAGCTAGATGGGAGCACGACTCCTAACCCACAACTGCTAATCTAGCCTCGCAGCTGCAGGACAACTGCCAGTGGCAACAGGAGCATAGCTATTGGCCTCCCGCTGCCAGCTGAACTGTGACCTGCTGTGGCCGTGTAATCGTCGGGACGACGGGATTCCCGTTTCTCGGCCTTTTCGCAGATGTCGCCACAATTCGCATGCTCACAAATGTCACAGATGTTGGACTTGGGCGCCCGATAGAACTGACGAGCACGACGAGCTAAATGGAAGATGGATTAGATGGGGCAGGATATATAATTTTTTAGACCTACCGTTATCGTAGTAGTCATACATGACCACGGGTACAGGTCGATGCTTGGTGACCTTCACCGTTTTGTAGGCATGCAGCGTGGGGCACACCTCACGTCTGTCCAGATAGTCAAAATAGATGATGACCTTGGTGTTGCGTTGTTGGGTCTCGACCTTTTTGATGCGCTCGCTGGACTCCAGCGTGGGCAGCGTATCGGTGTCCACGACAAAGCCACTGGGCAGTTGAACCTCCATGACAGCCATGTTGGAGCGTTCGGCATCGCCGGGCACGGAAACAAAACTGGCGCAGGCAGACAGATGCAGATAGTCCGCATGGGAATTGCGATTGACGGTGGGGTCCAACACAAAACGTGGCCAGGCGCTGGTCACGTTCGTGTTGTATTTGTAGCTAACCTGAGCCAGGGCCAGACCGCGTCCTGTCGCCGAGACGCTCACGTTCTTAATATTGCTGGGCAGCTGTAGGAGATTGGAATGGAATTATTAAATGGTTCTGGATGAGTCTTGAACTTGGTTTTACCTCCACACTCTGCAGCGCCAGCGAGTTCTCCGCATTGACATTCAGTATGGTCTCGGCACCCTCGCCATAGTGGAAGCCCAACTGCACATTGTTGCCCTGGCTGGAGAACCGTTCGGCGAACATGAGCAATGCCTGTAGACCCACCACTGTGTCCTGTGAGCCGACAAATCCACCAAATGCATTACGCTGATCCATCAGCCAATTGAGCACAGGCAGCGCATCGCCCACCAGATTATTCTCGAGCAAGGCCAGCGCTCCATACGCAGAGATCTCGATGTTGACGTTCCGTGTGGCATTATACCAGGGCGATTGCTGCTCCGTTGACGGCGCCGTCTTGTTCCACCATTTGCGTCCATTTGCATTCATGGCCAGCGAGTCGAGACGCTGCAGGAATGCGGCTTTGGCATTGTGATTAGCCTTCGAGAGCACATAGGTGCCCAGCGCCATGGCATGCAGATTGCTGGAGGTGTCCAGTCCTCTTGTGATAAAGTCCAGCGCCTTGTTGATATTGTTGCGGTACTCGGCATGCAGATCCTTAAGGCCATTACACATAGAGCTAGCTAATGAATTTCATCTTAAGTTCCACTTACCACATTCTCCATCATGGCCAGTGTCACAAAGGCGGTCAGACTAATGCCACCATCGTCGAACTGCTCAAAGATATCGCCGTGCTCCTCGTAGCCGCCATTGCTGGACTGCACGCTGGCCAGATAGGCCAGGGCGCTCTGCAGCACATGCTCATCCACTTGAATGTAGGGCGTCGCCTGGCGCAACGATCTGGCCACATAGGCTGTCAGCCACGTTGAGCTCTGCTTGGCAGACAATCCAAAGGCGCTGAAGGCACCGTTCTCGTGGCGATAGTAGAGCAGACGTTGATAGCCCACGGCCAGGTTCTTGGTGGCACTCAGCTCCAGCTCTGGAGTCAGTTGGCGCAAGCGCTGCAAGAGATTAGGTTTAGGATAGCAATAACTTTTTGATTGACTGATAAAATGGTTGATAGACTGATAGAATCATTTTATCATATAATCATATAATCTTATTGACTGACTGACTGATTAGTTTGTTGGCTGGCTGACTAACTGACTGATTGGGTCTTTGACTGGATAACTGAAGTAATTGATTTAATGATTGGCTGATAAAATATTTGATTAATTGATCGGGGACTGACTGACTGATTGAATAGTTGACTGATTGACTGACTGGCTGGTGGACTGATTGAGTAGCTAAATGACTTATTGGTTGGCTTATTGATTGGTTGTCTACTTTAATTTTGATTGATTGACTAATTAATTCACTTACTGATTGACTGGTAAAGTGACTACCTAAATGACTGACTAAATGATTGCTCGAGTGATTGAGTGACTGACGGATTGACTGACTGATCGACTTTCCACACAAATGGGTAACATTTACATTTTGTATTGTACATATAATAATTTTCTAACTTACGCCCAAATAACGCAGCACCATCAGATTCGGCACAAAGTTGACCATCGTCTGCTCCCCACAGCCCGTGGGCAGTTGGATGAGTTGGTGAAGATTGCCCACAATGCTGCCCACCAGATCACCAACAGCACTGACCTCAATGCTCGTTGAGTCGGGTATAGCATTCCGTGGCACTTTAATGGTAACATTCTGTTTGCGCTGTGTACTGGAGTTCAGTTCGAAGAGGAAACCACGATTCACACGCTCCGTGGCACCGGGATGCTCCACCAGCAGCGTACGTTCCACAGTGTCGCCAGCTTGCGAGGTTGTTGCCACAGCCTTGACGGGCAGGGCGCCCACACGGCGAGGCGTCACAATGAAGGAGATGGAGCGGGCCGACTTACCGGGCACTTGGATGGTGCGACGACTGTAGAGTTCTAGTTCTGTATGGAAATCAAAAACAATAAATTTTCACTGTTCGTCCAAGTAACATGCCAGGATCTTGTACGCACTGGGCTTATTGGCTTGCTTGGTGTCCAGCTGTGGAAAATCAAAGTCCTGCGCTGTATTGTAAAATGTCACATCGACGCTCAGATCGCTGTCTCTGTTATTGTGCACCACAAAAGGCAAAGCAATGAGCTCATCTATAAGGGGTAAGAGCATAAGTCATTATATTCCAACATTCGCATCTCACTATCCACCTTTGCGTATTGAATAGGGCAGCTCAGTGGCTATGTAGAATTCCTTGTAGGCCTCCAGCTTGCTGTTGGGCGCATTCAGACCCAGGCCATTTACAGGATCTAGAGTAAAGGCGGTCAGGAGCCAAGAGGTCATGTCGCTCGGAATGCGTCGATGTATGGTATTGCGACCATCGCTGCTTGCTGAGAGGTTGAGGAAAAGCCACGTTTCCGCCGGATCACGCATGACATGCACGCGAGGATTATGCCAATAGGGCTTGGGTGTATAGGAGAAGGCATAACGTCCCTTGCCGGGCGGCAATGTGTTCACCTCAATCTTATGCGCGGGCCCGATGTCAGTCTTGCGCACAGCTGTCAACTTGTCCTCCTCTATGGTGCTGGAGCTATCGCGACCTATGGATGGTGTCGTCTCTGCCTCTGTAAGAATACCGCACTTTAATGTATACCACTTCTACTTGTAAAATAGTTTGTTTACCCTTTTCCACAAAGTAATCTGTATTGGACATGGTTATAACACCGGACTCCTTGCCGGGTGAGCCCACGGGCGTGTTGACATCGCTGAGCTCATAAGCGTAAAGGGCATCCATTAGACGTTCGTGCGTTAGATCATGGCCTAAACAGAGTTTCAGATAGGTTACATGACCTGGAGGTAGCTTTAAGTTTTTTAAATTACCGCTGCGCAGCGTTGCCGCATTTTGATCAACAACCATGAGACCAACATAGGAGTAGGGCTTGGTGCTGATGCCTATGTCTATATCCTGACCAGGTGGTGCTCGGATGGGCGCTTCAATTTGTACCTAAGGGAAGACATTTAGTTATCCCAACTTGCCTCATGTAGGGTATACTTACCGCATTCAATAGATTTTCCTCGAATTGTATAATCTGCTCGTCGTAGACGAACTCTCCATTGACTATCATATAGACGAGCAGCTTGGCACGTGGCATCATGGCAAAGGAAGCCAGAAATTTAATGGTATGATAGTTATTATCTGCCACCTGTATACAGATAATTTGAATTTTATATTTCGTCCAGATTTAGGCACTTTTCATCACTTACATCCACATTGCGGGAGAGAATTATGTCGCCGCGCCCCACAATCTG